ATCCGGTCAATCAACTGGAACACCGGGGAGGTAACACGCGCACGCACGTCTTTGCTGAACTCGGACCATCTCGCAATCTCACGGTAGTTCTGGGACTCGGGCACCTTGGGCACACCTTTCCACTGGATCGACGAGGTATTCCGGCTTTGCGAGAGCCAGAACTCCTTGGCCAGCTGGAACGCACCGGATCCTCGGAACACAGACTGCACCGGATCAGAATTCATTAAGCAACGACGAATGATCAAAAAAACGCACCTCCATCATATGAGCCTTTTGGAAAACCTCGCCGATCGGCTTGCTCTCCTCCGCCTTCCCGTCGAGCAGACACAGGAGCTCACCACTGAGCTCGCTCATGCTCGTTCCGTCCAGGGCAATGTGATGCGCAATCACATATACCTCGATGGCGCCTTGGAGCTCGACGACGAGCCAGCGCACAGCAAACTCTTCCGACAGCGGCACAGCCTGGTGGAGCAGCTTTTGCAAATGCATTTTGGCGATGGCCGTCTTCGGCTCCGCGACGATTCGGACCGACGGCAGCGCGGACTGGGCGTCCCACTCCGCGACGAATGGGCGGGACAGCACCGACTTGTTGCCGTGGAAGGTGGACCGCAGTATTCCGTGACGCGCGGTGAGGGTCTGGATGCCTGTGATGTCCAGTGAGTGCACAGTCCGAGGCTGAGATCGCCGATGTCCTCACCCGCTAGAACTTTCTCCATCGAGTAGGTGTCCGAGGATGCCAATGTGAATTTCATTGTCAAATTGTACAGGGTGTGCTGTGGCTGAGCAGAGTAAGCCATCCAGATCCCCTCTTGAGCCCTGGTCATGGGGTAGACGGAAGTCACACTGGCATCGAGTTCGGTACGTGGAGAGTGGGTGGGAGGAACCACAGGGCCAGTGATGAGCTGCATTTCGTGTGGAAGCGCTTAGCGAGTAATGAGAGGAGGGGACTTTTTGGTCTATCGAGCCCACTTACAGACCCATAGTTTTAAGCGATCTTCGCGAGCGCCGCGTCTGTTAAGCACCAAAAAAACATCACATTCTTCTGCACGCGTTATGAGAGCAAAGAAGCGAGCAGACGGGAACGTCTCCATGCACCATATGCAAGTGATCGAGACCCAGAAGCGATCTGAAAGAACGGAGCAAGATCAACATCATGACCTCCCTGAATCTGTTACCTCCATCTGCAAGAATCAGTCGAATATGTTGCGCGTCTCTGAATTGTCAAAAAGCTTTTCCCGGCAGTTCACGGAGATTGGGTCCTCGGTAATTGACTCCCTGTGAGGTGATGATGATAGATGCCGACCAGCGGCTGTGTGACCTGGCTCATTTCTGACGAACAGTCCTCTCGTCTACCACATCATGATTCATAGTGCTTTCGCGTCACCGATTTGAGCCCCGCATCTTTCTGCCTTCCGCCCGTCAGCGTCACCGAGAATTCCTGAGAAATCACAGAACACCGCATGGTAACCCGACAAACCACCTCATCCTCGCATACAGTGTATATGCTAGCGGATCGATCCTTCGCAGCTCCAGCGTGCTTTGCAAGGAGTGGATATCGAACGTGAATACGGTGATGTCAGGCTACGGGATTCTGTCCGTCGGCTGCGAAACGGAAGCACAAGTTGAATCGGGTTCCAAGGACAAGAATCTGTGAGAATTAGAAAACAATTACTAATTATCCGATGCGACGCCCATCGTGCAGTTGAGGCCCGAGGGCGTTCGAGACCGCCGAAGACGAAAATACCGCGGAGGGAGAAAACATGGTGGAGGGCCGCTGGTGGACTTGTCATCCGACCTGTTCCGCCATCACCTTCGATGTTGCGACTCCGTTGAAGGTTACGCTCATTTTCTTGCTGACCATGGTTTGCGAACTTCGCATTTGTCAGGCATAAGCACTTACTCGCGAAAACACGTGACTTTGCTCCGTGTTTCATGGTCGCGTATGAAGATCCGGGATTCGGTTGTGTGACAGCTAATTTTGGACTTGAATGTATCACTCCCGTCCCAGTGAGACCGGTGGTCACATCATGGATACGCTTCGAAGAAGGGTGGACGTCGATTGGAACCTCGAAGAATTCAACCTCCCTAAAAGAATCCACGCGCCGTGCGGTCTCTCCGGTCTCTCGAAGACCCTAGGCAGGCCCTCGGACACTTGATATGAACATCCTCCACCGGTTCGGATACTTTTACTCTAAACTTTTCTGGGTTTTGGCCAACTTTTACTCTATTTTCGGAGGGTAAATCCATTTTTCCGCCTGGGCCATTACCGACTACGGCTATGATCTGGGTCTATTTACGTGCTTTCCCCTGCCCTCGAGGAGTCTCTGAAAGCTCCTTGGCATTGCCCGTAATCTCCAGAGTTGAGCAACTTTTGACCGCAGCTGGGGGGTAAATGTCCAAAATCAGTCGCACTACGCGCGACTTTTACCCTATTTAGAGAGGGTTATGGACCCCAAATGCTCATTTTTACTCTATTATGCGGAGGGGAAAAGTCAAAGATTTTGCTCAGATTTACTCTATTTGGCAGGATGTTCACCCTAAGTGTCCGAGGGCCTCCCTAGGCCTAAGACTGGCATCGGCTAAATTGCGTCATACAGAAGCCCGGTAGCCGATAGCCGCAAATGGCAATATTCTGCCACCGGAGTCATAAATACCGTCCCACATCCGCAAACAATGTCGGTGCTCGCGTAGCATGAAGTAAGCAAAACAACTGACAAGACGAACGAAAAGCCCACTGCTTGAAGGAGCCGCGTCACGCACAGCAGCTCCTCATGACTGTTATGGCACAGTCCGCGTGGGTGACATTGTTGCACTAAGAGAACGCCGATCGTGACGGCAAAGACTCTTCACTCATGATAGAAACCCATCCAAGAAACGACTCAGACTGGAGACATAATCGCGCGAACCCGCGCATAGAATAAATCAAGACTGTCAGACCGATCAGTGGAATAAATGGGCTGAAAGCCAGCCGAAAGATCCATATTCTGCATAGATACGAGTGCGAGATTCCGGAGCCCCAGAAGAATTCATGGGCCAGCAGAGGCTCTAGGATCGCCTCGGTACCCATGTTATACTCGAAGCGCCGAACCACGTCTTCTCGAGGAGTGTTGGGAGTCTTTACCTGGCGCAGATCGGGCGAGAAGAAAGCTATGATACAGCACATCAGCGCGTGTCGGCCTCATTTGAGCTTGCATCTCGCCACCTACCTCCATGTCAGAGTTTTCAGATGACTGGTCGACGCGGGCACGTCTTCAATACGAACGCTATCCGTGGTGGTGGCTGCTCTGAGATTATCCAAGCATCGGGATTGCATCATCGCCATATTGGAACGGGTTTGAACGGCTTGCGTGCATATCTATTTCTCAGAACCCTCTTGAAATCCTGCTTAAATTTTCAAACAAAACAAAAAATCTTGGGCACTGCGCTATCCCAATGTCGGCCCCGAGTTCTATTTTTAGAGGCATGAAAGTTTACACGACGCACTCCCTTTGTTAGTTACCAAACACTGGTCTCGGCTTCGCTCGAACCGCGGCTAGAAGGCTCCCACCTATCGCCTTCTCAAGGAAGTGACAGTAGTCACGGAGCTTCTACAGAGCACCGACACGAAGTCCGGGAGCACTCAAACCACTCTACCTCCGCCGTTGCTGTCCCATAATTTTCTCCTGTCACAAGACTCCGAACCAGATGGTTTGAATTGCGGGCAGTGTCTCATGCGACAAAGTTCGCGGGATCGAGCACCCGTTAATAGACTGCGGCGCAGCGATGACGAGATTCGGAGGTGGCTGAGTCGTAATCGCGCTGGATGAGGAACTTGGAAACGGAGCCGGGCTGTGGCCATGTCCCACAAACGCTCCGCAGGCTTCACACACGTTTCTTCACTTCCTGCATCAGCGCTGGAGCCGGTTTCGACGTCTCAAGCTGACAGCGCATGAAAACATCGCGTACCGATGATGCGCCAGATGAGTCTCCAGATGGCCAAGAATGCGAAATGCAAGTCCTAGAAATCTCCCGATTGGCATTGGCGACTCCACTTCGACATTGTCCTCGCACCAGGCTCTTACATTGAACCGGGAAGAAGCAAGAGCTCAAGGGCCGCGGATCGACACACGTACCATGCGAAGCTGTCAGATCAGCTCTACCTCCTCGGAAGGCAATTTCACACGGAAGCACTTTGTAAGCCCCTGTCTTCTAAGCGTTCGCTGTGACAAACGATTCGAGTCCAGTATCATCTACTGTAGACTGGTTTACCGGTCGCGGTCAGGAGTTCGAGCCGACATGGATCGGCCGGATATGTCAAGTCAGTACCAGTCGTTCAAGCCAGGCCGTGGATGCATCCAAGACATCTCTCGGAGACGGCTAGGTATTCGGCTTCAGTATCCCAGCTTTTGAAAAATACTTCACCATTTATATGGCATGGCACAGGAAAATTCAAAAGTGAGGGACACGCATCCATCACCTGTGGGAAAACTACAGACTCATTCCTACTCAATCGTCTTCAAGGCCTTCAATAGATTATCGGCCTCCATCGCAAAAAGAAATAAAAACAACAGACGTCTAAACATCTCTTCGTCAACACCGAGATCTGGATCCCCAAATATTGCGCCATGTTCCCACAATCGTAGACAAACTTGAAAATGTACCGGCAGGGCATACCGGATCAAAACCCTCGAGCGCGGAGAAGAAAGAAGCAGCCCGAGGCCTTCTCGTCAATCAGGCCCAGAGTTGGAGATGGACCAGTAGGATGCATCCAAGCATGCATGACAGGCGTTTTGCGCGGACCTGGGGGCTCCAACGTGTGTTGTTAACCAACTCAATGGCGCAATTTTTCTGCGCGGGAAGCGAATCGATACAGAGTCCATCGGATTGGCGAGCCTTCCACAAGACTACGGAACTTCTTCATGTTCTGAACTTCTTCATATACTATATATTCAAATTGCGGCTATTCGCATAGCCACCGGGACTGTCAGATTCGCGCCGGTGACTGTGACCATATATCAGGTTTTTTGACTGGCGTCACTCGCCAAACCCAGGACTGGACGATTAAAATAGGACACGGTCCTGCTTCCTCTCCGTCCTACCTCTCCATGTCGTCTCCCTCTGCTGTGGGTCCCAGTTTCGACTGCGGTATACTCCCCATCCCACGGCGCCTGCGTTATGACCCGGCGCGACCATTCGTGTTTACCATGGTGCTGAATGTCCTATTCGGATTCGCCGCGACCTTCATAGTGGCCAATTTGTATTACTGTCAAGTATGTCTGCCTACGTTCCTCTGACGCGCCGCGCTGAGTTGGTTTGTCCTCAGCCGCTACTGAGTGAGTTTTCGGGTCAAAAAAAAAAAGTCGGCTTACATGCTCTAACGTCGCGTAGTCCAGTTCTCCGAGTCGTTTGGGGTGGATTACGATCGCGTTTCTCAGATACCGACGCTGCTGCAGGCAGGGCGAGTCACCGCCATCACCCTCGAGTTTCACGGCTGAAGGATTTGTCCAGATATGCAACAGGAATCTTGTTCATTTCCCCGCTGGGCGATCTCGTTCGCCGACGTCAGCTCATCCTGACTCTCACTCTCGTTTCTGCCAGTCTGACCGTGGGGGTGGCCGTTACTAAGAACATCGTCGTGTTCGAGGCGTTGTCCTTTCTCATCGGCATGGTATCGCTCACACCGCAGATCATGATCGTACGTACGCTGCGTTCTTTCAGCTGAGTTTCACGTTGCTAATTCAGTCAAGCCTCTCGCAGCCGATCTAGCCCCGCCAGAACGCCGAGGATCGGCGCTGTCCATCGTTTATTCCGGCTTACTTCTCGGTGTCCTCGTGGCCCGAGTCATTGCTGGGATCATCGGCCAATTCACATCGTGGCGGGTGGTGTGGGTTGCTCTTGAGAAGATTATACGGCTGTGCTGATCCTACATCAGGTACTACCTCGCCATCGGCGTCCAAGTCTTCGTTCTCCTCGCAGGGTACCTCATCATCCCAGACTACCCAGCCAAAAATACGGACCTGACGTATTTCAAAATCCTCTCCTCGATGGCTCGATTCGCCGTCACCGAACCGATCCTAGTCCAGGCCTGCCTCGTCAATCTCGCCTCATGCGCATGCTTCACCAACTTCTGGGTCACACTCACCTTTCTTCTCGGCGGCGCGCCGTACTTCTATTCGACGCTAACGATCGGGCTCTTTGGTTTGATCGGGATCCTTAGTGTCGTCTGCGGGCCGCTGTTTGGCAAGCTGATCGACGGGCTGATGCCCTGGTACGCGTCCATGTGCTCGATTCTGTTCCTGCTATCGTTTCAGGCGATCCAGACTGCTGCGGGGACGATGAGTGTGGCGGTGGTCGTCATTGCTATAATTGGTCTCGACATGTTCCGTCAGTCGCTGCAGATGTCCTTGGCGGCAGCCGTATTCGAGTGCGTCATCTCTCACTGGAAATCATTTACCCATGATCCAACGTGATTGCATCAGAATTTCGACAGCTGCGAGAGCAAGGTTGAACGCCCTATTCGTGCTGTCGGTGTGTGGATTTTCAATGCCATCAGAGATCCGTTCTTGTGATTGAATTCTCATCAAGCTGTTCATTGGCCAATTGATGGGCACGGCCGCAGGGACCAAGGTGTACACGGCATACGGCTGGCGGGCAGCCGCGGCTCTCAATATGGGCTTCTACGGCTGGATTCTGATTGTCCTGCTTGTGCGCGGGCCACATTGTGGTCGCTTCACGTGGTTCGGCTACGAAGGAGGATGGGCCGTGAAAAAAGTCAAGGCTGCCCAAACCATGGATGACACACAGAGTAAAAGCTCCAGTGTAGGAGGGGATCAAGAGGCTGCTCCCTCAGAGAAATAGTTTCCCTTGCTGGACTGTTCAACCCTCATCCAATATTCCTGCCGGGTTCTAGGTCAAGTCAGGACCCCTAATACCTTAAGGACTTGTGTAGTTTGATTTTCCTCAATGATAGACTAGAGCGGCGGGATTAGCAATTTGAATACAGACACAGCACGCCCAAAGCATGACTAAGTCAATGAGATCGAGGGTGTGACACTACCGTGCTGACATAAAGCTGCTACCAAATCTGGTGTGATATGTCACATCAATCATGCTGCTATAATGCTGCTAATCCTTTCACTCTGAAACTCTGTACATACCATGCTGCTTTAAGTCTGCAAGCTGCAAGTAAGTCAATTGAATTAATCTACTGGCAGACATTTACTACCCCTATCGAGTGTCCGTCACTACTAGCCCTGAGTCTGGTATAGACTTATAAGACCAATTCCACAGTAGTAGTCTGACTGCCTTGCCATTGTTGACACTATCCACAGTCATTGACTGGGCAGCAGACCCTTAAGTCCTACTGAGCACAACACTGGCACCCACAACATGATACACTGAGTGGTTCAAGAGTAAACTCTGTAAAAGCACAGAAATACACCCTTAGCAGTTCCCAAGTTGTGGCTTTGTCAGTCTACAGGACCATGAAGTGATGATGTTTTCTCTGGCGCCACCAGTATCCATTTATACCTACAATTCCAATCTCTTCCAAGCTTTTGTTGTTGAATTTGTCCTCAGACAAGTTACTGTCACCTTCATCCTCTGCTGATGTCAGTGGGGGTCCAGCAGCGCTCAAAATGATGCCACTACCTTCAGATATATCTGAGTCATGTGAGGAGTTGTGTGTGGAGTCATGAGAGTCCACACTTTCATTGTTGCTATCACCACTCGTACTGGTGTCTTTGTCATCCTCCCACTGATTCCCTTCAACTTTGAGTGACTGGTTCCTCTCTTCCCCTCTCCATAACAACTGACCTTGGCTGTTACTGCTCTCACACCCCCGACCTTGGCCATGGCCATGGCCACAACCCCGACCACACTCAGTCGTCTTTGCCACCTTTGCAGCTATCTTTGTGTCATAGTTCGGCCACTTTTTCATCTTATCTTCAACGATCTCATCTTATCACGGATCACGGCATCAGACGATCCGGGCTAGGGGTTCCAGGGGTTATCTCTATCGATTCAAGGCTGCGCGACATATGCTCCGGAAGGTTCTACTACAACCCATGACCAGTGCTCCATGCGGTACATAGCCCTATGACTCATTAGTTGTAGATATGACTCAGACTGGATTTGGGTATAAATACTGTAGCTATTTGGTTGTATTCTCCAGTCTTCGAATTCACTTCTCTTTTCGACTATTATTTTGGTTGATTGTCACATAATTCGAAGACTCCCCTCATACCCTCCTACCTCCTACCTCTTACCCTGCATCTTGCACCGCTACGCCCGCTATATCCTCTTAACCCTTATCACCCCACTCACCCTTTTACCGAATCATCTAGTTGTCCTCCACTATTGCAGTGAAGGGTTCGTATCAAGCAAACAGCACCAGGCCACGGGTAACGTTGAGCCCGACCCAAGCCTTACGGTAGCTACAAGGAGTGCTGCGGAGACCTTCGGGAAAACGCACCTCGGGATCATCGGGCACGTGAAGAGCTAGGCCCGGGATCTTTTTGCTAGCAAAAGAACCCTCCCTCGAGTGCTTGTACAGCACACGATTCCACCATTTCGTACCGATTCCCATCGTCGTCTGGGAGTCCGTCCCCTCCCCCCATCGTACCATCGTCGCCCGATCTGGCGCATCAAAACCAACCCGGGCCCTCCAACCCCTACCTCGCCCTCCCACCGCCTGAAGACGAGATCCCCGACCTCGACAAACTGCCCTCCGAACAACCACCCTCGCCCCCACCTCACACGCCTGCTCCTACCATGTCAGGGCATCACCGCATCACCCTCGCCGCCAACCCCCCCTACTTCGATGGCGACAAGTCCAAGTACCTGGGCTTTGTGGACGCGTGCACCACTTACATCGGTGCCTATCGATCGGAGTTCTCACTGGATGAAACAAAAATCCTCTTCGTTCTCTCCTACCTCCGTAATGAGACCGGCACAAGCTGCGCCGCCTCGAGATGGGCAATGAACTGGAAGCAGCACAACTTCGAGGGCTTCCAAGGACTGAAGGCAGGGGTCACGGTCAAGACCTTCTTAGAGGAACTGCAGAGGGCTTTCGGGGACTCCAATGCAGAGCAAGTTGCTGCTGCCCGACTCATGGCCCTGCGCCAGAACAAGCGGTCCTTTGCGGACTACATCTCCGACTTCGAAATGTTGGCTGCGGACGCGGGATACAATGTGGTCGACACCACCGACGACAAGGGCAATTACAAGAAGGGGGACCAAGACAATATCCTCATCGAGTTCCTGGAGCGCGGACTCAGCAGCGAAATTGCCAGTCGCCTCTACAACACGGGTGTCCCTCTGCCCAAGGCCTATGGGGCGTTCAAAGCCTGGTGCAACAATATCGAAGCCAATGCTCTGCGTGACCAGCTGCGCAAAGCATCGTATGGGCACCCCACGCAACGACCACCTCCCCAGTTTCGTCCCCAAACGGCACCAGTAGCGCCCACACCCGCTCCGGCCCGACCGGCAGCCAATGAACCAGTCCCGATGGAGATTGATCGCACCCACACCCGCAGCCGTAATATCATCTGCTACAACTGTCAGCAGCCTGGGCACATTGCGCGGAACTGCCCGGAGCCCAGGAAGAAGCGCACGTTCTTCAATCGGGCCACAATGCTGGAAGAAATCGAGAACGGGGACAAGGACAACGAATTCTTGAAGGAGATCGCCGAGAAGCTGCGCGAGAAGGGTTTTTGAAGCGCTCCACTCCTCTAGCCAAGGAGGTGGAGCGTCCGGACTATGGACGATTTTCTGTACTTGTTTCGATTAAAGATACGGACAATAATTCATCTACATACACGATCTCAGACTCACTACGTACAAATATTCATGATTTTCTTATTGCCGAGATGGAAAAAGAACGCCAGGAAAAAATAGCTCTAAATAGAAAATACTTACAAGATAAAAAGGATCAGAAAACCGCGGCTGCAGATAAATTATTGGACTCCTACGTATTTATGGCTCGTGGAGAAGGAACCACGTCAACAAAGACCGAAAAGGGGAGCATCGCTCCGGAGGCTCGATCCTTGGAAAAGGAGGAAGCGCCCAAGGAATCTGCCAAAATCGAGGTTCCAGAAGCACCCAAACGCACCAGGGTGCCAGATGCCGTCCAGAGGAAATTGGCGGCCGAGAAACAGAAGGGCCCCCAGCCCAGCAGATTGGCGCAGGAATTACGCAGCTACCAGGCCGAAAGAAAGAGGCATTCAATGGACGTATATGTCCAGATCACGGGCCTGGACTCAGGGAAAACGCGTGGAGTCAAGGCGCTGCTCGATAGTGGCTGCAGTACCTGCTGCATCGACACTGACTACGCACGGGCAGAAAAGCTGGATATCCAAGAGCTTCCGCAACCCATCGTGGCTCGTAACGCCGACAACACCGAGAACATCAGCGGTCGGATCACACATTACGTCGACTTGAGAATGAGAATCGGTCCTCATGTAGAGACACGCACATTCCTTCTGACGTGTTTGGGGAAAGCTCGGATCTTCATCGGCCTGGATTGGCTGACGGAACACAACCCCGAGGTAGATTGGCAGGAGCAGACAATGAGATTCAGCCGATGCCCAGAGCAGTGTCACATGAGGGGTCACAAGGAACATCAAGCGATGATTGACATGGATGCAATCGACCTGGACGCGGGTGCACCGGATCTGGAAGAGGAAGAATCGATCCTGTTGATCGACTTTGGAAAGGAGGTAGACCTACGGCTGAAGGAAACGCCGGCGCAGAAATTCACAGAAGAAGCGGAAAAGGAGAAGGAGAGGATGACCGAGGGGAAGATTCCCAATCAATACAGGGAGTTTGTCAAAGTATTTGCCAAGGAATCATTCGACTCACTACCGGACCGACAAACATGGGACCATGCAATCGAACTCAAACCAGGCTCCAAAGCAGTAGACTGCAAGGTTTACCCGCTATCACAAAATGAGCAAGTCAAACTCGACGAGTTCTTACAAGAGAACCTGGCCAGCGGACGAATCAGGCCATCAAAATCACCCATGGCATCGGCATTCTTCTTTGTCAAGAAAAAAGATGGCTCGCTACGCCCCGTCCAAGACTACCGGAAGCTGAATGAGATGACAATCCGAAATCGATATCCGCTGCCGCTGATCTCCGAACTGGTCCATAATCTATGCGGTGCAAAGTTCTTCACCAAGCTCAACATCCGGTGGGGATACAACAACGTACGGATCAAAGAGGGTGACGAGTGGAAGGCTGCGTTCCGCACGAACCGCGGACTGTACGAGCCCTTGGTCATGTTCTTTGGCCTCACAAACTCCCCGGCAACCTTCCAAAATATGATGAATGACATACTCCGAGAACTGATCAACGAGGGTCACGTGGTGGTTTATCTTGACGATATATTGATCTTCACAGAAACCTTGGGCGAACACAGGCGAATCACGAAACGAGTACTCGAATTGCTCCAAAAACACAAGCTATACCTGAAACCCGAAAAGTGCGAGTTTGAACGCACGGAAATCGAATATTTGGGTGTAATTATTGGACACAATTCGATGCGAATGGACCCAGTCAAGATCAAGGGCGTGATGGAATGGCCAGAGCCAAAGAGCGTCAAACAGGTCCAAGCCTTCCTCGGATTCACCAACTTCTATCGACGCTTCGTCCGGGGATACGCGGAGGTTGCCAAGCCATTGACACGGCTGACAGGGAAGGCAGGATGGTCATGGGGTCTGGATGAGCGGGCAGCATTTGATGGGTTGAAGAAGAGAATCGCGGAGGATGCAGTCTTAGCACTGCCAAATGACACTGGCCAATATCGTCTGGAAGCCGATGCCTCGGAAGGGGCAACAGGGTCTGTTTTGAGCCAAAACCAAGACGGCATTTGGCGTCCAATCGCATTTATTTCGCACGCATTGACGGAAACTGAGCGAAATTACGAGATCTACGACAAAGAAATGCTCGCAATCATGCTATCACTGGACGAATGGAGGCAGTTACTCCTGGGGGCTACCGAAACATTCAAGATCTTCACCGATCATCAAAATCTCGAGTACTTCAGGAAACCGCAGAAGCTCAACCGACGACAAGCACGATGGATCACAGAGCTGGCGGAGTTCGACTTCACCTTACGACACCGGCCCGGCGCACTTAACCGCAAGGCGGACCTCTTATCTCGACGAGCGGATCACGATCAGGGCAAGAACGACAACAAGGACGTCACGCTACTGAAGCCCGAGTTCTTCCGATCACAAGAAGTCACATTCAAGGGACAGGATCAGCAGCTAATCGACGAGATCAAGGCCACTTGATCAATTGATGGAAGCGTCAAGGCGGCCTTGGAGAAGTCACTTGCTGGATGGAAAAAGGAAGACGGGCTCATCACGTACCATGGGAAGCTCTACGTACCGAGGGACGAGGAACTGCAAGACAAGATCATTGGGCTACACCACGACACACCCTTGGTCGGACACGCTGGGATCAATCGTACACAGGAAATGGTGGAAAGGAACTACTGGTGGCCAAGGATGGGGAACCAAATCCGGAAATACATCCAGACGTGCCAGGCGTGCCAGCGGACCAAGACCAGGAGAGCAAGGACAGGGACTCTGCACCCGCATGCAGTCCCAAATGCGCCGTGGGAAATCATCTCCATGGATCAAATCGGACCCCTACCGGTCAGTAACGGGTATGACGCAATTCATGTGTGGTGTGACACCTTCACCAAAATGATCCATGTCAAACCAATTAGTACTGACATCAGCAGTGAAGGAGTCGCACGATTAACCAGGGACCGAGTCTTCCGCTACCACGGGATCCCCCGCAAGATCATGACCGACAGGGATTCGTGTTACATCAAAGGCTTCATGAGGGAAACGAATCAGATGTTGGGCGTGGAAATGAATCCGGGGACCGCATATCACCCAATCACAGATGGACAAACGGAACGCATGAATCAGGAGATCGAGCACTATCTCCGCATCTACGTCAATTACCATCAGACGGACTGGTCAGAGTGGCTGGGAATGGCGGAGTTTGCATACAACGACAAGATGAACACGTCTACCAAAATATCACTGTTCTACGCCAATCACGGATATCACCCATGGAAGGGAGTGGAGCAAAGGATGGAATCAAGGAACGAGTCAGCGGAGGAGTTTGTAAAAAGAATCAAAGAAATACAAGACAAAGCCAAAGCAGCATTGGAAAAAGCAAATGAAAAAATGAAAAAATACTACGATAAACAAAGAAAAGAAGTTCCGGAGTTGAAGGTTGGGATGAAGGTGTACATAGAAGGAGAGAACATCGAGACGGATAGACCATCAAAAAAGATGAGCGACAAGAGATTGGGGCCATATGAGATACTGGAGAAGGTTGGAGCGGCTGCATGGAAACTGGATTTGCCAGACACGGACCGAAGACACCTGGTGTTCAACGAGTCACTGCTGACACCCTATCACAAACCACCCCCCCACCGCCGAGAGAAGAGACCCGTAGCCAAGATGATCGGAGGAGCAGAAGAGTGGGAAGTCGAAGAAATCGTGAAGGAGCGAAACGTCGGCCGAGGAAAACAGTACTTGGTCAAATGGAAGGGATGGCCGCATAGCAAAAATACCTGGGAACCATCACGTCACCTTACCCACGCGAAGAAGGTCCTGAGAGACTGGCAGAGGAAACAATCAAACCCAGACACACGCATTCGCCTCTTGCCAACGCTCAAAGCTGGACATTGGGACTATCTGATTCATCGCTACAAACCCAAAGACGAGCGCCTTCCGTACCCCCAACAACAGCTCTTCGACCCTTACGAGAACGTCTTCCTACCCATTGGCCTAGTCGATGAGGACATCGACCCTAGAGAGGGGGTAATGTCATAGTTCGGCCACTTTTTCATCTTATCTTCAACGATCTCATCTTATCTCGACACGGGTTATCTTATCACGGATCACGGCATCAGACGATCCGGGCTAGGGGTTCCAGGGGTTATCTCTATTGATTCGAGGCTGCGCGACATATGCTCCGGAAGGTTCTACTACAACCCATGACCAGCGCTCCATGCGGTACATAGCCCTATGACTCATTAGTTGTAGATATGACTCAGACTGGATTTGGGTATAAATACTGTAGCTATTTGGTTGTATTCTCCAGTCTTTGAATTCACTTCTCTTTTCGACTATTATTTTGGTTGATTGTCACACTTTGCCACCTTTGCAGCTGCTTTCTCGGCCGCCTTTGCTGCCTTTTGAGCTGCTTTCACTACTGACTTTTTTGCCTTCTCCAGGGCCTTTTCTGCTGCCTGTGTCTCCTTCTCATACTTGGTTACCCTCTTCTTTATCTCTGTCACCTTCTTCCTCATTTTCTTGTGCAGCACAGTCATCCTCTTCTTCTGGTCATCATGCAACAGTGCATCTACCATCTCCTCACTTGTCATCAACCACAGAGCACCTGTGTTATAGGCTTGACATTCCTTCTTCCTGTTGTAGCGCTGCTGCTAAACATGTTGATGCTCTGTCTCCATTAAGACCATTTGAGCATGGTTCCTCTTGAGCCCTTGACTAGCTGTCTCCACAATTCCTCTTAACTCAGCAATCTAGGCTTTTGACGTACTGAAAGGGAGTCAAGCAGGCAGTGCAATGCAGTAAAGGGACGGGAGACATGCAGAGCCTTCTAACATTGCTATTAAGGTTGTAGATAGTGTCTCTGATGTAGAAGTCAGTAATGTGACTGATGCTGCGTTGTCTACTATATATAGAGTGACTAATGACAGGTCCAACATGAACAGAGCGACTGATAACTGGGCTGAAGCCAGATCTGATGTTGATAGAGCAGCTGATGAAGAGGCTGAAGATGCAATCAATGATGTGGTCAAAGATTCCTCCATTGGAGCAGCAAAAAGCACGTTAGCAGATTCTTCTTGTGTCTGTTAACGGGAATAAGCAATGACGGGAGCACGACCTCAAGAATTGACTCTTCCTGTGTAGTAGGATAGTTCTTTGAGGGTGCAAAAAGCTCTTTGGGTATGGTTGCTTTATTTAGTGAATGGATACCACACTTTCAAAAGGTATTTACAATGGTTTGCTTCTTGAATGCAGAATGTTAGGCTTGATTGTAGTTGTAGATGAGATTGTACTTATCAATGACAACTCCTGCCACAGTTTGCTATTCAAACATATGAGATAGTATAGTTGTAAACAAGCTACAGCTAATGCACTTTCAAGACTTGTTTCTTCCAGTACCTTGCAAGTGGCCTGAACACACTAACATCACACAGCTACAAGGCATGAGTAGTGTGTGACAGGAGGCAAACAACAATGATCTTTTTGTCTCTTGCAAATCAGACAAAGTCATACATACAATGGCTGTTGTGGCTATCAAGAATGAGGAGCCAATAGTCTATCAGATTCTCCAAGCACGTGGTGTTCCGGAGATCAAAATCCTTTTTGAGCCATAGAGTACCCAGTTCTTGGTCCATCCATCTATTAGGTGAGATAGAGATACTATGAGTTGAATCTGTCAACTGTGCCTTGATGAAGAGGACATGCACAGACCTGACATTACACAGATTGTTTTCAGCCCACCAGTTATCATGTTGGAGGCCCTGGTAGACAACGGAAGGATCAAGCACCTCACTATCAGCACAGATACACTCAATGATCGTGACAAGTTCCCAGTTGCCATTGGCAATAGTTTGAATGTTCCGCTGGTTGCTGTTGAAGCTTGTTTGTATTGGCAACTATCACAGTATGTAGACATGACATCATATGTAGTATTCTTAGATTACTTTGGCTCGCTCCACAATGATCTCATGCCTGACCTCATTGTTGTGTCATCCATTACTCATCTATGATATCATTACTCCACTATGACATCATGATATCTGCTCCAGACTGCTATATAAACCTAGTGCTATACGCTCCATATCCTCAGCTCCTGTGTCTTACACTTGCTGAGGTATGCATTCTCCCTTACAATCTAATGACCCTTACTTATGACTTGTACCATAGACTCTGTGTCTTTAGGTACAGCTAATGCATAGCTCCTGTGTCTTACAATTGCTGAGACTCTGTGTCTTTAGATGATCGCTACTGGTTATATCTCTACTGCGCAATATTGTCTGCGACAGTTGCAATCCACAACAACAGCAACCCAGCCAGCAACTCCTGACTGAATCCCCTTGTTGTCCATGTTGTAAATATTGCTTGGCTAAATATTGTATTCAGAGATGACAAAGGAGATCATTTCAAAGTACTGGTGGGTCACTGTCAGATTGAGAGCTTTGGCACAGCATTCCTCAAAAGGAGCAGCAGTCTTCACCTAGGGACCATGCAAATAAGTACAACGTAGACCAAATCATTACATGATGATTAGAATCATACCTTCAGCCCAGGGTGACACAGTAAGAAGCAATGCGCCTGGAGACTTGAAGGTGAGTAGTATTCCAATTTCATTTGCTGAATCTCCGCGAAGTTCTCCAGTGCAATATGCTGGTCTTCAATTTCAGATTCACCTATAGGATCCGAGAGCGCTCCCCAATTTTGAGGATCAACACCCTTGCCCTTGGGTTGGGATGGGTCACCATTGACATGCTCAACAACAGGATGATCAATGGCGGGGGTGGACTCAAAGACTGGATAGAAAGAGCTCACAAGAGACGGCTCCCGTTCGTGTTCAGTAAAATCATCTATTCGCTTATCTGCAGTATTCATTCTAATCAAGTCTTTGTTTGCACTTTCTGTGGCATTGTCGCGCAAAGCACTCTGTTCAGCCGCTGCAGCTAAAGCTTCCTGAGCAATAGCTTGATAGCGGCGGGCAAATTCCACCAGCTCTTGAATGCTCATGCTTGCCATCGCGCGAGCAATGGTTGTGGGTGTAAGCAAGGCAACGGTATGCCGTTCACTCGTGCGGTCCTGGGTTACCGGCGACCAGCCGGCACTGCGTAACGGCGCTGTCGAAGCGTCGCTAGCCTTGTTGTCAAATTCAATAAGGTTCTCCCTGTCAGAGACAGGGGCTGGGTTTGCCGGACCAGAGTCCGGGATGTCTCGTGGCAACCGGGGTGACCCCACAGTCATTGCCACGGCTGAGGAAGGAGGAGGAGCGACCAGCATTCCTGCGCGACTGTACAGCAAGTTGGGGGAAGCCAGCCGACCGCAGGAGGCTGACGGGGCCATTGCCACGCGGTTGTCAAGGTGATGAGGAGCCGGAGTGTCACCCTGGACACTCAGGGGCCTGGCAACGTTGGTGGTCGGCCCCGAATCGGGCGCAGCAGAAGCTGGGGTGACACGAGAGGGAGGTAGGGGATTCCCAGCTCGAGTGTTTGGGTGAAAGCGGTGGGGTTGTTTGCCAGGATTGCTCATAGTCAAAGGTTTTGAGTTCAGGGTGTATTGTTGTCAAGGCTTTGTCCTCGAGAAGGTTCAGGGGTTCGTGGTGAGTCAAGTGTCGAGTGCGGAAAACGGAGCGTCGACAGGTCAAGCCTAGGCTCTCAAAAATATGTGACGGAAGCTGCCGTACAGAGAGGTTCCGCCACATGGAAGGGCAGAGCTGAGAGGGATAAGGATAGGATGGACCAAAGAAAAGCGAACACACAGGGGTAGACTACTATATACTACAATCGGACGCTGTGCCAGCCAAACACTGTCAAATGCCAATCAAATTATCATGGGATTCCTGTCATGCAACATTTCCGCTACAGATGAGGTGTCTGTTGTCTCCGGCAATGGCGAGGGCTCGATAAATTTGTTAAAAATGATGTGAGGGCAGAAAAGCAAGGTTTTTACCACCATAATGGCACAGGGAAAGTTTTGAGAGCTACCCTGCACCCAATTATGTACAGCACACTGTGACAATCAACAAGAAATAATGTCGAAAAGAGAAGTGAATTCGAAGACTGGAGAATACAACCAAGTAGCTACAGTATTTATACCCAAATCCAGTGTGAGTCATATCTACAACTAATGAGTCATAAGGCTACATACCGCATGGAGCACTGGTCATGGGTTGTAGTAGAATCTTCTGGAGCATATGTTGCGCAGCCTTGAATCGATAAAGATAAACCCTAGACCCCTAGCCTGGACCGTCAGATGCCGTGATCTGTGATAAGATAATCCATGCCGAGATAAGATAAGATCGTTGATGATAAGATGAAAAAGGGTTGAACTATGACACACACAGCTCAATATAACACCCTTTTACCCAAGACATTCCCCATATGTGCCCGATGACAGCAATGTTGAGAGCGTATGAAGGCAGATGAAAGGAAGAAAAGTATGGCGGAGGGTGTCATTGGGTCTTGACAGTGAGACGAGCACTTGACTGCCATTGATAAGGCAGAGGTGGTGGTGTGGGAGCGTGATTGGTCAGCAAATCACCCTGCCAAAATAAGAAATTGGTCCGTATGTCCTCGATGTTGATGTCAAATCACACCTGCCACACAATGACTTGATGCCATTGGGCCCAAAATTGTGTTCGAGGGGCATCCGGTATCCCTCTTTCATCCTACATACACTGCAGAACCCCAAGTCAAGCGGTTCCCATTCAGTAATCGGATCAGCCAACTAGCCAGGGTGGTCAACTAGACCCTCACATACAGTGAACCCCGGATTTAATTCTTTCTCGATTTTTCAGATTTCTTTGGGATTTTTTCGGGGCAAAGATTCGGGCCCCGGTGTCGAATTGATTGAATTGGTACAGTACGCTTTCTACCTACATCCTGTGTTAGCCATCATCGGGGACAATGAGGACAACTTCTGAGCTGAATCCGACTCGCTCCTCCGACTCCTCCGACTCCGAGAAGCCGAACTTAGTGACTCGGAGGAAGAGGGCATGAGCGGAGGGCGCTGACGGCGGAGTCACTACACTTGATTGTTACTGATGTCACTCGATTGTTACCCTGGATTCGGCCTTGCTTTCTCCTCAGCTGTCAGTGTCATGTGATCCCTCGTTTTTCGATTTCGGACGGAAAACTACATAGGTGATGGTCACTACAATCTACTACAATCATGCAATCATTCCCAAACGTCACAGACGTTGCAGCGTCAAAGGCATGGCTGGGCCCGCGGCACCCTCAGTCCATGGCATCTGGATGTTCGCCAGCTTCCATATGATCTCTTCTTTCGGGAGACTGATCCGGAAGTTGTCGAGCAGAACACAGATCATCACTTCTGCAATGGATGGATCAGTGAGTGCGCTCACATCTGCGCGTTATCACCTACTCATTTCCAACTGTGCGAACTTGATGCCGATGCAGGCGCGCCCGCCGCCGAGGAAACTCATCGTACCAGCGTAGATGCTCGGCAGATGGGCGGTGGCCGCGCTCTTGGGCACACCGTTTGCCCACCGATCGGGTTTCCACTCGTTCGCGTCGGGACCCCAGATCTTCGGGTCGCGATTCGCCGCTGCGATCCCAATGTGCACGTTTTGGTTCTCAGCGACGGGAATCTCGGTGATCGTCCTGCCGTCGGTGCCGGTCAGCGGATAGAGCAGAGGGAGAACAGAAGCGGAGCGGGCTCTGAGGGGAGATGAGACTCTTGTGTGGACGAAAGCTGCTCGCGGCTTACGTGCGGGTCATGAAGGTCACTGCGGCATGCAGTCTGAGGGTCTCCCGGCAGACGTTCTCGAGGAAAGGTAGCTCCATCAGCAAGTCGTATCCGAGTTCGCGGTTCCCGTGCTCCCTCTCCCAGGTGTCCAGTGCGTCCTTGATTTCGGCGCGGAGACGGTCTTGCACGTCGGGATAGATGCAGAGGAGGTGGAGAATGTGGGCGATCGTCGAGGAAGTTGTGTCGTGTGATGTGAAAACGAGCGTCGTCAACTGGGCCAGGACTTCTGCGTCGGGCATCACGTCTTGTGTCGAAGCGCCGTGCATGGCTCGCACTGGATGCATTCGTCAGGGACGCGCCCAGCGGCTAGAGATCACAGCTCGTCACTTACTCAGAATGCTGACGATGTCGCGCCCGTGTCCGACCTGTTCCAGCACCTTCTCGTCGCCCATCAGCATCGCCTTCTTCTTGGACTCGAAGATCGCCAGCGTCGTGCTGTGCATCTCGTCGACGATGTCGCGCAGCTTGTGCAGCCGGCGGCTGGGTGTGACGTCGACGAGCCAGCGCCGGAAGCCAGGTGTGCCGATCTTGAGGATGAACGGCAGGATCTGGCGCTCGATCTGCAGCGAGAAGATGGTCGGAATCAGGCCTCGTAGTGCTGTCCTGAAGGCGGTGTTGGGATCGCGGTCTTCCTCGAGCGCCTCGAAAGAGTGGCCGAGTCCACCCTGTCCGATGACCTCGAGCGCAGTCCTCATGATGAGATCGAGCATGTCCATTTCGGCGGGGCCGGATTTGGTCTTGACGTTGATGAGATGGACCATCTTGGGGGTAGCACGGGAGTCAGACAGGGAGCCAAAAGTCAGTGTGACGCGACCGACTGACTTTGTTGGCGACCTCAAACACAGCCGGACAGAGCTCGCGCATGTTCTTGCTGGAGAAGATCGGGTTGAGGATGCGACGCTGGTTCCGATGGTGGTCAGTCACGGTCGAGAGCAGACCGTCGCCGAAGATGACTCCATTTCCCCTGCGACGTGGATTGTGAGCAAATGGGCAGGCACAGCGCCTCTGAAAGTACGCACTGAACGAACATCTTTGTCTGTTCAAAGACGTCCTGCTCCTTGACCGTGATCTGATGGAGCGCCAGTGGATCGGCAACATACAAGTGCTCGTCCTGCGCAAATGTCAGCCTTGATTATGTGCACGGAAATCTACGCGAGCCCGACCCCCATGATGCCGTTGATTTTGACGACGCTCCCGTAGTTCTGGGTGAGATCGTGGTGCCAGGACATCCCGGCGGGATTGTACAGATATGACAAATGGCCTGTCCGCCACGACTTGGACGGAGGACCTGGGAGATTGCGCAGTGGTGACTTGACGACGGCGCGACGGTAGATGAGCCATGTGAGCCGGGCTACACCAAGGACAGCGAGAACAGCCAGTGCTTTCCACATGTTGAGGGGAACTACAGGGATGTTGAGTTTCTGGATGTCGAGTTCAATCCATGGGAGTGTTTATGTGGGTTCGGAACTGGCGTACGGATCTCGATCATCTCTCAAAGACATGGCGACGAGGTGAATGAGAAATGAGATGCTTTCTGATGGATTCACAACGTCATATCATTGTTGTATCACATGTGAATGAGTCACAGAAGTCTGCATGCAACTAACCCTCGGATGAAGGGTGTTGTATTCCAATCTCCTTTTGTCTTCAAAGCAGAGTGTGCAGAAGCGCTTTTGAACGCGCAATGGTTCTTGGACTATCATGAAGCTTTCCGGCTATTTCGAAACGAAATTGAAGACCGCTGATTCGGATGCAATGCCAAATCCGCCGGGGAGCCGTTTCGCTTACTTCTCCCTCTGGCTCCCTAGCTCGATCCAGAAATAGGTGGATGCCATTTTTAGTTAGCATTTGACCAATCAAATGGCCAAGTCTCGGCCGAAACACGCGCGAGTAAGTCAGTAGTACATTCGACCGCAACCACGGCCGTGATTCATGTAACCCAATGAGGGCATAGTTCGTAACGTATCTTCTGCTCATTCGCTTCGGCCCGTTCAGGGAAGTGATGTACAACAGGGGGGCCGCAATGAGCGAAATCTCTGCGTGATTAGTTTCCACTGGTCCCAGTGCAGCAGCCTGCACATGAGTGAACGGCATCGATCGTTCTTGCTCCGATGAAGATCGACCACAAGGCGAGGGAAATCATAGGCATGATAAAGATTTCGGGAGCTCGAAAAACTCTGATCTGGATCTCCGTGTCCGATCGTGAGACTGATCGATCACCTCTCCGATTGTCCCTCCCTGCTTTTCGGAGACACCGTGATTACCGAGGACCGAGGATCCGGATTCGAGACTGAGTCAGAAAGCTCCACATTGCGAATACGGTACGCAATCTTCTCTCTGCGCTCAAACTACGGCAAATTGAGCCTTGTTCGCCCGAGAAGATGTGCCCGAAGATGCTGTATTTTGGCAGACCCCCAAAATGACGCTATTAGAGATCAAAATCAAGCGATTGGATAAATGGTTGGATAGCATCGCCCGCTATGTCTCTCTTTCGGGTATTACTCGCTGAGCCGCAGTACATGCGCAGAGCAATGATGGTATACATCCTTTGAAAAAGTCTGATTCATGGCGTTGCCGACTCTCGGTCTCCCCCCGCCCGATGGAACTATGTGCGATGCGCGGCGGCTCATGTTCCTCCAGCTTTCCAAGAGATCAAAGTCCTGCACTGCTTCGCTGAGGGGCTGAAAATACACTCTATTTCATGAATTACTGGTTCTTTCCGCCGGAGTTAAGCTCCGCCTCCGTGATTTCTGCCTCTATCGGTGGCGCTGGCGACGATTTCCGAAGTTTCATGCCGCCCGCCCATCCGACCCAAGTGTACCTCGGGACATGGGGGCCTCTTGCCAGAAGCGCGAGAAGCTCAACTCCAGCAAAGACGACGCGGATGCCCGAGGAGAGCTTGTATCCGCCAGAAACATATAGTTTAGTTCCAACAGCAGTTCCAGTGACCTGCCCGAGAAAGACGGATCCAACGAGCAGGGTATTCAAACGCGCCCGAGCATGTGGGTCAATTCTAGATGCAAAGAAAAAACAGTGAGTCATAGCATGGCGTTTCGAATGGAAATATGTCTGCACCCGAAAATGACTGTCGTCATTGAGACTTGAGTAGCTTGAGCACCGACATCGAGAACTGTGAAAGGATCAAGAATAATGAAAATGATCGAAAATGTCCCCGTACTCAGCGTCGCAATAATAACAGCGGCAATATTCTTCTCGGCGCCAAACGTCTCGATGATCTGAGACGACAGAACGAAACATATGGCAACAAAGCTCGCAGCCCAGGGCACAAGGCTGTCTACCGCCCGTCCGATGAGCGGTGACATGCATATTCCCGCTAGTCCGACGACACCGAATATTCCGATGACCAAACTTCAAGATCTGAGCGAGAGGATTACACGTGAGAGCGAAACACGACCCACGGTGAATAGTTATAGGGTTCGCCGTCCAAAAGGAAAGTCATGGTAACCCAGAATCCGGAGAATATCGCTGCGCCGCAGAAAAAGATGATGCATCCTTGAATCAGGATGGGCTCGGTCACTGCAAATTTCGCCATGCTCTTCATGATCTGCCAGTATGATAGGCCGGTGTTTTTGACCGGGACAGGTGGCGTGATCAGATAGAGGACGATGGCGAGGAAAAATTGACCGCCGGCACCCATCCAATAGACATTGTGGTATGATGAATATTGCGCGATGATCCCGGCGAAAACACGGGCAACGAGAACACCCGTGAGAAGCCCTGCAAGGACGAGGGCGATGAAGGTTGCCCGCCGGTTCGCTGGAGCCAGATCCGCAGTGAGAGGGATCAGGACCTGCAAGATCTATATGAGCGGCGGACGCTGAGCGAGGTATAAAAAAAAACTCGGTACCTGAGGGGTCACGGTGGCGACTGCTGTCAAGAAAGAAAGGACTTCAAAGGCGATCAATGAGCTCGTCAATGCGAGACCGACAGTGAGGGCTCCCGAAATTAGAATCAGAATCAGAACGAGCTGCCGCCGATGGAATATGTCGCCTAGCGGTGCGATGAATAGCAAACCCGTCGCGTATCTGGAATGTCGGATCAGATGAGATTGGAAGTAATATAGAAAATATAATTGCCCAGCCTGGAGAAGAATCGGAATTCGAGAGACTTGGAAGTCGTCGACTTGAAACGCTTCCGCAAGTTGTACTGCCAAAGTAGGTCATACATTTTGAATCAAGGCCCTCGGAATATGACGCACCGAGAATGGGTTGGCAGTAGTACAAATTCATTGCTAAGGGGAGAAAATATGACTATCAAAGAGAGAGAGAATGTTCGATCTGCGCACCAGCTTTGAACCCGGTCAGTACATTGGTCCTAACGGAAACGCGGGGACACTCACTGAAAGTAGCCGCGACTGCAAACGCAAGGACTCTAGCATAACCAATCTCGCCAGAGCTACCCAGATGGGCGCACCGAGGCACAGGCAGGAACCCGAAGTCGCGTCCCGGGGCATTCGAAGTCGTCGAGTGAACTGGGAGATCGGGGCCGATGGTCGACGACATTGTTTGAGTATCTGAATCGGCAGGCATTGCGAAAGAGGTGGGGAGGAGAAAGAAATGTGTGAGAGACCCTGGCCTCGGAGAAGGTCTGTAACTGAAAAATGAGGGCCTAGCGACAAAGAGGACTTACGTGACTCTGAAGTCTAGTTGCCACGACTTGACATGTGCACCGACCCATCTCGGCTGCAGTTCCGCTTGTGCGCCGAGGATTTCTGACCGCGACCGGTAACCCCGTCTATGTGATACTGGACTGATAATTGTACATTTGCCATTGCCTACATGTTCCATTGAATGCTTAGACGGGAGGAACTGACAAGGCGTTTCCGTGTGAAATTCCCCTTCTGGAAGCTGCTGAGCTGGTTTGACAGCTTCGCGTGGCACGTGTGCCGCGGTCCCGATCTTTCCCGTCTTCCCGGTCAACGTTGCCGCCTGGTGCCAAACCATTGCGTCCCGCATGTCTAGGTGGAGCGACCGGTAGTTGGAAAAATCCCCGAACTCACAT